TCTGGGTGTATAATAGGCTATACCATATAGGTTTGTGTAAGCACACTCTTGTCATGTTCACACAATGACAAAATCACCTAACAATGCATTTCTCAGAACGTAACCCTGTCGTTAAGAGACGCATGACTGTATTTTTACTTTCTTTCTATTGTTTGTGTTTTTTAAAATTTCCATTGAGACTTCCTCTTTGACCCATGGGTTAATATGGATTATTGATCCATAGAAGTAAATTGCTTAATTTCCCCATGTTTAGAGGTTTCCTGCTGTCATTTCTAATCTGATTCCAATATGGTAAAAGAATGCACTCTGTGTGGTTGCAATTATTTAAAGTTGGCTGAGGTTTGTGTTATGGCCCAAGAGATGGTCTGTCTTGGGTGCTTAAAAACAAAATGCATATTCTGCTGTTATTGGGTGAACTAGTCTATCTATTTCAATTAGCTCCCATTGGTTGGTTGATTGTGTCGTTCAGATCTTCTATATCCTTGCTGATTTTCCGTCTATTAGTTCTATCAGTTATTGAGAGGGTGTGTGCCTTTCTTTTAAATTAATTACTAGTTATTTCACAGAGTTGCTATTGCAAAGGAAATTTATCCTATTCCCATTTTCTGGGACTCATTGGTCATATTGAGAAAAGTTATTGATTCTTAAAATAACTTAGCAAATGTTCTTACTAATCCTACTAGTGTTTTTTTAGGCTTACAATCAAGTCTATTGCAAAAAATTTTATCTTGACTTTTCCAATGTTTATAACAACTTTTTTATTGACTAGCACGTCAAAGAAAACATTGGACGATACTTGAAGCGGTAGGCATCCCTGTCTGGATCCTGACTGTAATCGACTTGGTTTTAGTATTTCGCACTCTACAATAATATTTGCTGATTTTGGGTATTCTTTGTTATGTGGTCAATTTCTGCCAGTTCTGCCTTCTTTAAAGCTTTATTACAAATGGCTACTGCGTTTTATCGAAAGTCTTTTGAGCAACCATGTGAATGTTATATGTTTTTCCCTCTAATTTATGGATGTAAAGAATTATGTTGATAGATTTTCTCAAACTGAATCACCCATGTATTCTTTGATTAAACCTTACTTGGTCAAAAATCACTGGGTTCATGAGTAAAATTGGTCTGTAGTTTTCCTTATTGCAATAGCTTCAGCAGGTTTTGTATGAAAGTTAGGCCAGTGTAATAAAATGAATTGGGAAGATTTTCATCTTTCTTATTGTCTGGAATAGTTTAAATAACATTGGATTTATCTACTCTTTAACATTTTTTTTTTTTTTTTTGAGGAAGGTTAGCCCTGAGCTAACATCTGCTGCCAATCCTCCTCTTTTTGCTGAGGAAGACTGGCCCTGAGCTAACATCTGTGCCCATCTTCCTCTACTTTATATGTGGGACGCCTGCCACAGCATGGCTTGCCAAGCTGTGCCATGTCTGCACCTGGGATCCGAGCTGGTGAACCCTGGGCCCCTAAAGCAGAATGTGCACACTTAACCGCTGAGCCACTGGGCCGGCCCGTACTCTTTAACATTTAAAGAATTCAGCTCTTTTAAATGATAACTCTTTAATTATTTTTCCAGTCTCCTATGGTGACTTTCAATTTCTTCTGGGGTTAATTTGGGTCATATTGTCTCAAACTTATTTTCATCTCTTCTCTATAAATAGTTAATTTTTCTTTCTCCTTCCTAGTCTGGTCTATTTCTCTTTTTTCTTAAATAAGGCTATATGAGGAATTTATTTGCTTGATTATTCTTTTCAAAAACCAGCTTTTGAATTTATTTATCCTTTCTATTAATTTTGTTTTCTATTTCACTAAGTTCAGCTTTTATCTTTATAGTAACTCCATCTTTTTACTTTTGTTTAGTTTATTTGTTATTCTAATTTCTTAGCTAATTTTTAATTAACTAACTAATTAGAATGTCTTAACTCTAACTTTATTCTTTTATTTTTCTTTCTCTTCTTTAATAATGAAGACACTTAGTTTTCCTCCGAGTTCAGCTTTTGCTGATTCCTTAGCTTTATTATGAAGTGTTCATTTCAAAGCGTTTTAGATAGTTTGTGATCAGGGCAATATTAAAAATACCTAACAACCAGTATTTGTGAGCACCCACCAATCAAGATGGATGTTAGCCATTAACACTATTTTAGCTGTATCAATGCACATTTGATGGATATCCACTCCCATTTATAATTCCAGCTCCCATTTCCTCTTTGGACCAAAGATAATCTAGGGGTGTGTTGGTATGTGTGTTTACTTCCAGGCAATTACACAGCACGCATGTAGTTACACAGCGCACATTTCCAAGTAGGTCCAGCTCTACGTCATGGAATGCTATGAGGATTAAATGAATTGTTCCATGTAAAGTGCTTCGACCAGCACCTGACATAATGAAGTTTTAAACAATGCTAGCATATATATTGCTAGGTGTTTTTACTTTGAGTCACTTTTTTCTTATTTATTTTGTGGATCAAAGGATGGACATCCTTTTCCTGAGGAATGCGAAGCTCTATGTATGTCTATTAAATGTAGTGCATTGATTCGCCTCTTCCATATTTCCTTAGTTATTTTTGTTTATTTTGTCCAATTCTGAAAAAGGTATGCAGAAATTTCTCCACACAATTGAATTTTTCTCAGGTTTTCTCGTATTTCTATTAGCTTTTACTTTATCTATGCATCGCTTTGAAATACATTAACAATTTTTTTTGACACTTCGAATTCCCCTCTCCTTGAAGGTGGACTGGATTGAGCGACTTGCTTCTAAGAAATAGAATGATGCCATCCACGTGACTCTTGAGGCCTCATCTGGGTCTCTCTCTCTTGAGGATGGCGAGCTCTGGGAGAAGCCAGCCAGCATATCATGAGGACATTCCAGCAGCCCTGGGAGAGCCCACGTCAGAGGAACGGAGGCCTCTCACCAACAGCCAGCCAACCTGCTGGCCAGATGAGTGACCCATCCTGCAGCCTCAGTTAAGCTGTCGAATGGCTGCAGCCCTGGCCCATTCATGAGTCCATTTTGTACAAGACTTTAAGCCAGAGCTCTCAGCTAAGCCACTCTTGACTCACAACAACTGAGAGATCATAAATGCCTCATGTTGTTTCAAGCCACTAAGTTTTGGGGTAATTTGTTACACAGTCATAGATAACTAAAACAACATAGATACGCTCTCTTCAGATTACTCTGTTATTTAGTGTCCTTTCTCAAGTCTTTTCCTCAACTGGTGGGACATCCATGATATATTCTCTGAATCCTTGTATATTTACAAATATCTTTCTTTCATGCTAACGGGTGAATGATAACTTGCCTGGGTACAGAATTCTTGGATCTCAGTCCTTTTCTCTCAGTACTTTGCAGAGTCTGCTCCTCTATCTTTGAGCCTCCAAAGTTGAAGATAAATCACACACCTATTCTTTTTCTTTGTAATTTACTTAATTTTTTTGCCTGGAAACATGTAAGATTTTCCTTTATCTTGAAGTTCAAGAATTTTGTATCCACATGCCTGGATGTGTTTCCCATTGATTACACCTGGAACTTAGTGAGCCTTTCGAATTTGCAGACTCCGGTCTTTTTCAACACAAAAATATTTTCTTCTATTATTTTCACTCTTCCATCTTATCTTTTTCCTCCTTCTAGAATCTATCCTCCAGGGTCTAGCTTTTAAATCTCTTATCTTTCAGCTGTTGTTGTTTATTACAATTTCTCCCTCTTTGTATTTTTGATGTCACTTGAGATATTTCTTCCATTGAGTTTTCCAAGCTTCTACTTTGAGTCTCAATAATGGCTTTCGTTTTATTAAATTTTAGTCTGAAACCATGGTTTGATTTTTCTCCAGAGAGTCTCTTTGGTGCTGCACTCAGCTCTCCTTAGTGTTCTTAGCAATTTTTTTTTTAAATATTGGCACCTGAGCTAACATCTGTTGCCAATCTTCTTTCTTCTTCTCTTTCTCCTTCTCCTTTTTCTGCCTCTTCTTCTTCCTCTTCTCCCTCCTTCTTCTCCCCAAATCCCCCCAGTAAATAGTTGTATATTCTAGTTGTGGGTCCTCTGGTTGTGCTCTGTGAGATGCCGCCTCAGCATGGCTTGATGAGCGGTGTCATGTCCGTACCCAGGATCCAAACCAGCGAAATCCTGGGCTGCCGAAGCAGAGCGCACGAACTTAACCACTCGGCCACAAGGCTGGCCCCTTTAGTGATTTTTTTCTTGCTGTACAAGTTTTTATCCGTCTCTTCCAGCAGCTCTGTTTCATATGGGACTTTATCTAATTGTTTGATCTTCTCTTTCTATTTCCGGTTGTGGATTTCTTGGGAGTAGCTTAAGTACCAGCAGCCCTGAGAGAGTGGACGTCAGCAGTCTCTGATGTCTGGTGGTAGAGCAGCAGATAGGTCCTCAGGAAGGAAGAAAGGACCCCCCTCCACTCCCTGATCTCCTCAAGTTCTCCTGGCCTGTTTGGTTTGTCCCCAGCTCCTTGGGGTCAAGGAGCATATGAAGACCTACACTGGGCAGAAATCAACCTGCTGGCAGGCCAACTATCGTGGCACCACCATGGGGACCAACTATGAGGGACCAGCATTTTCAGGTCTCCCCATCAGGCCTATCCCACCCTGACCCCAGCTTCTGTCCTGCCCTCAGTGAAGAAAGCATCTCATCAGGTCTATGATTCTCACCCTCCAGATCCCTCCTGCCCACTGAGCGGCCCCAGCAGATGCAGCTGGAAGGAGAGGGAACGTGAGAGACATCGAGCTGCCATCTTCCCCTTACACAAAGTTGACATTCATTATTTTTCCATATTCCTCTAGATCATCTTTCACGCTAAATAGATAATGTACAAATAAAGTCTTTGTGAGTCATTTCAACATAAAGTACGCTTGGAATTAAAATTTCAAGGAAGATTTCATATATTCCTTACAGAACTCAAACCAACCAAGTGATTTTTGTTCAAACTCCCCAACGTGAATATTTATTTGTATGTAGACATCAAGCAGGAGAAATGTCGAACCCGGCACCACAGCTCAACAAATGGCAGAATCTATGGTTTTAGAATGGAATGGTTAGTTGATCGCTATGCAAACCTCAGCATATTTCTTCTCCTTCTTTTTCATCCTCCAGAAAGCTATAATTTGAATTTAAGAGCAGTAGTTAGGAGCAAAATGCTAATCAAAATCAGAAAACCCTGCATTAACTCCTCTCACGAGTGAGGCACCATGTAAAACAGAACTCGCTGTCCATCTTTGAAGACCTGAAGCACTTTTTCCAACCTCAGCACCAGCCCTTTGGAGGTCCCAAATTGCTTCTCGCAGATCTCAGGATTTTCCCAGATTGCTTCCCTTCTCAGCTATGGCCAGTCAAATTTCTCTTCCAGAATTCCTTTTTCTTCAAGGTTGGCCCCAAAGGGGGCTACTCCTGCTATTTTTGAAGCCAATATTTGAGCCTTTTCATTTTTAGGGTTTTCGCTGCTCCACATTATTGAGAAACAAGGGATTGAAAATAAACAAATGTTGGAAAAGTTACAGAAGTTTAAGATTTCATGAAAAGTGATCTTGAATACGTGTCCGTAGGCGGCAGTACATCGTGTCTGAGGCTGGGAGCCTGATCTAGCCCATTTCTTTGGTCGCTGACGTTCAGACTGCTGCCTTGGGATCCTCTCTCTCCTGTTTCCTGTCCCTCTTTATTCCTCTGGCTCAGCTGGGCAAGATCTTCCTTTCTCTGCCCCACCCTGGGCCCCTGCCTCTTCTTTCAGGCTCAGATATTCCCATAACCTTGTTTGAATAGAATTTTAGGTGTGCCCTCGTAGTTCATCCAAATGTGTACAGACACGCGAAGTGGGTCATTTACATCCTGAGAGAAGTTCTGGGTCTGTAACCTTCCCACAGGACGCGTCACTCTAGGTTATTCCTGAACAAGTGTCACAGACTGGAGGAATTAGGAAGTGGTCAGGCTCACGTGTAATTCACAGCTCCAAATCTAAGTAGGATAATGCAAGTTTGAGAAGCGGTTCAACGAAAAGTCAAATGCTTATTAAAGGTCCGGAAAATAAGACTATGTAAGGAAAGGTAGCAGAGTTTATCAGCCTTGGTACTATTAACATTTGGGGCTAAGTCTTTGGGATGCGTGTGCGGGTGTGCAGACCTGTCCTCCGCCCTGTAGGATGGCAGCTGCGTGCCTGGCCTCTACCCGCTAGATGCCGGTATCATTTCCCCTCCAGTTGTGACAACCAGAAAAGTCTGCAGACAAACGTCCCCTGGGGGGAAACCCTCACCCCCTGTTGAGAAGGACCGGGTTAAAGGAGTCAAGATATTCAGCATAAAGAAGAGCTTTTCATTACAGAGTCCAAATCTGTGGAGCGCTCCCACACTGATGACAGTCCTCAGCAGCTTTCTGTTTCCAGAAAACAGAAGAATTTCAGCCTGAAGGGTTTGGACAAAACACAGTTGATTCATTTCTTGGGAGGCTTATGTATAGACATGGGTTACTAAAGGAATGAATTCCGTCTTTAAAATGAGAGAAATCCCTTGTTTTTCTGGGATCATTCTGATCAATGATTCCTTGGAGGAGGAGATGCCTTCGAAGACCCTTCTGCCCCGTTCAGCCTGTGTTCTCCCATCCAGGTGGGCTTCAAGTGCATCTTTCAACCCCAGCACCACCCGGGTGATCACAGGGCACTTTGCCACACACACAACCTGAAGTATGAATGTTTCTTATTGTTCTGACATTATGACAAACAGTATAGGAATCCATGAACTTGTCCCTCCATATTTCTTCTGAAGATACTTCTCGAGGGACTTGGAGGAAGCTTGATTTGTTGTGTGTGACATTTGGCATTATCTCACGCTGAATTATTTATTCACTCTAAGTGGTCAGAAGTAGCATGTTGTGCTTTTTAAGAACCACTGGATGAGGATATGGACTCCGTAAAAAGAGCACTGGCTTCCTGGAGAAGAAGCTGCTAGAAAGGGAAGGAAATTGCTTGATGTCGTTTTACACTTATTTATACTCCCACCTCATTTCAGAAAGAATTAAGGCTGAACTCTTGATAATTGGTCTTGATAATGACCAAATTTTTAAGCTCTTGAATCTACAGTAATATTAGCTACTTGGTGATGTGCGAGAAAGAATCCTTGACGCCTGTCACACACTAATGCTCCAAGTTCTGGAAGCACAGCGTAGAACAATGATGCTTTGTGTATCTTTACTATATGCTAATAGCTCACTCATTTCAATATACAAACTAGTCAGATATTTTGCTTGATTTTTAAAAATTATTTTAATTCTTCATTGTATAATTTTACGTTTTAGAGATTTAGAAATATTCACAAATACATCACTGAGGATTCTACAGAAAATCCACTATGAACTAGTATAAGGAGAAAAATAAAACAAGACAAAAATGGAGGAGGGTTTGCTGGATCTTGTAGCTAAGAAGCCCCAACGTGGAGCAGACTCCAAACATGGCTGGATTCTGGGCTAAAAAAATAATAAATCTGGTTTTATTGTCAAGCTCTGTGTAGCAAGATGGCTGCAGAACTGAAGGAGAGGCTGCGATTGCAGTAGCTGACAGGAAGCCCTGAGCCAGTCACTGCTGTGTGGGGGCCGTGACGGTCTGACTGGCTGCGCTGGGTCACAAGTCACCACTGGATTCAAGAACAGGGGCACCCACAGAACCACGTGGACGGAGGAAGAAGGGACTCCCAAATGAAAGCCAGGTTGTTCCTGGAAGCAGAGTGAATGGGTGTTAGGCAGCCAAGAACAAATATCCATCACCCATATACTACTTATATTTGGGCATTTCAGTGAAACTCTTAGCTTAGGGCTCATTATCATTACAATAGGTGGTTCCATAGCTTCTATTTAGAGTTATTGAGATAAACGCTCTCAATCAATAGTCCATACTATGCACCGTCTCCTTCCAGAGTAAGGGGATTTCCGTCTGGGCACACGGCTACCCAGAATAAACACTGCATTTTCCAGTTGCCTTACTGGTAAGTGTAGCCATGTAACAAAGTTCTAACCAATGAGAAGTGAGTAGAAGTGATGGATACAATTTCCAGATCTTGTCCTAAAAGGGAAAGTGGGCTAGGCTACTCTTTCATACCTACGTATATGTGTATATACGCATATGTACGTATATGCATACATGTGTACATATGTATGCACATGTATATGTTACATATGCATATTTATATACATATGCATATATATATATAAAGGTGTAGCATAATCCACTTTCCCTTTTTAGATATAGCCTGGAGTTGTACACAACTATAGGATGGCTCATCCAGTTGTAGGAGGTGACATAAAAGTTTTACATATATTGGGGCTGGCTCAGTGGTGCAGCAGTTCCACATTCCCCTTCTCGGCGGCCCTGGGTTCGTCAGTTCGGATCCCGGGAGTGGACATGGCACTGCTTGGCAAAAGCCATGCTGCGGTAGGCATCCCACGTATACAGTAGAGGAAGATGGGCACAGATGCTAGCTCAGGGCCAGTCTTCCTCAGTAGAAAGAGGAGGATTGGCAGCAGTTAGCTCAGGGCTAATCTTCCTCAAAAAAAAAAAGTTTTATATATATACATATAATGTCATATACATATATGACTTTCCCACTACAGGATAAGCCATCCTACCTTTCCAGATGAGGGAAGGTGGAGCAAAAACATAAGAGGCCTGAGACCCCAAACACGGTGGAGCCCGTATGTTATTACATGATACCTATGCTTTTATTGTTTTCAGACAGTTACTTGGGGGTCCCGTTTACAGAGGCCAAATCTACATGGTATCTAATACAGTAGTGTTGACACCATAATCTATTCATCTTAAGTAATTATTTGATGCAAATAGAATTGTTATTTATTCTAGCTCTATAGGAGCTAGAAGACATGACCTGTTAACTCAAGAACTTAATGACTTCTCGCCTAAAGGGATGTGTGAGCGCCAAACCTTATTGAGCCTTTCCTTTGAGATTATCACTATTTCAAAGAGCAGGAAATGTCTAACCAGGGAAAGAGAGGTCTAAGACAGTGGCTTTAAAACCATTTAAAAAAGATGTTCACATATTTTCTCTCTTTTTAACCACAGGAATAACTTTTTAACTTCAATCGAGCATCAGAGCATCTAAGGAACACTCCAGTGCTCTTCCAGACTCCTCAGGCTTTCCCGCTCCACGATGCTGGCACTGCCCAGCAGAAGGGCTGTCCTCTCATTCTGTCCGTCACACTCTCTGGACTCCAGGTAACACTCGCTGTCTTAGGGGGGATGAGAAAGCTGTCTTTAAGAAGTCAAGTGTTATCATGGAAGATGCAGCAGCCTTGTTCCTTGTGCAACAAAAATGAAACTTTATAACAATTAAACCTGGCCAACCATGGAATCTGCCTGAGATTTCCTATTATTGGAGGTATTTAAACAGAGAGTAGATGATTATTTAAGAGCGATGCTGTTGAAGGGACTTAGGCCTTGCTCCCTCTAATTTGGATTTTAAGATTCACATTAGTTTGAAGAGTGATCCTGGGGCCAACAGACCTGGGAGGCTAGGAGGCTGTCCTGTAGCTTTGGAGTCAAAACTGCACAAAATGGCTTCATTGTTTGGTCTGAAATATTTGGTCTTCTAAACTCTCAGGTCCTCATATTAAAACATACGGGGAAAAAAAACTCCAAAGACAAAACAAACAAAAAACCAAACGTCACCATCTGAGCCGGGCTGTGCTGCAGGGCCCTTCTAGGAGCATCTTCTCTGGAACTGGCCCCCTGAAAAATCGCATGGGAAAAGTCAGGGATCCCAGTAGATTCACAGAGTCAGTGAGATTTGACTTCTGAGTTTTCCCTGTCTTTGTGTTATCCCCTCTCTTCTGGGCACTGTTTAAAAAATCATCACCTTCAAGCTTTAGGTCCTTCATTGGTCCTGGCCTTGGGCAATGAGCTCACAGACTCAGTTAAGTTTGGGGATCAGGGCTTGCTGAGTTTTAATATGGTGATTTTTAGGAGCGCTCAACTCAGGACAACAGGGTTTAGCTAAAAGGTACATCTCTTTAATTATAGGATTTATACCAACAAAAGCCAACAAGACTGGGGGGCGGGGAGGGGGGGTTGTGATCCTCTTTCCACCTTTAGTGGGGAGAGTCTTCTTGGCAGCTCTTGAATTTTTTTCTTTTTACAATCAGTTTGTTTAAATCAAGAACCAAATAGGGTCACATATTTTTACGTTTTGTTTACATGTCTCTCCTAAACTCTGAGTTCCTCCCCTGGTTCTGTCCCTCACTTTCTTTTCCCTGGAATGTTTTTGCCATTTTTCCTGTAACTTTTTCCACAGTCTGAATTTTACGAACTGCATTTGCTGATGCTGTTTAAAAGATTCCTCTGTCTCTTTTATTTTCTGTAAATTGATGCATCTAGAGGCTCAATCAGATTTAGGTTCAGTTTTTCCGCAAGAATACGTTGTAAGTGACATTGTGTATATTCCTCAGGAGGTACAATGTATCTGACTGTCTTTCTGTGCTGTAAGACGGATCAGCGGATTCAGGGTTGCCCGGCTGAGTCACACATTATAAGGTTCTGTCAGCTTTCCACCTCATGCTTTCAGCAGCCCTCATGATTTTGGCTCACACCCACTATTTCATTAGGGGTTGCCACACCACGATCTTCCATCATGCTTGCTTTACTTTTTAGCTAGAATCTCTCTTACAAAGGGAACCTTTATTTCATCAACTAATGGTTGCTCCGAGATACAGTCTGTACAGGAAAGACAGACAACTGTTTGGTTCTTTTTTATGTGTAAGTTGGTTCCTAAAAGAAAAATACTACTATTTCTCTCTTCCCACAACTCTTCTGACACCAAATGTGTGGGGTTTTCCCTCACATTCAGCAATTCGGACACTAAGCGCCTGGAGTTGGCGCAAACAGAGAGGTTACGGGCTCAGCCTCACAAGGCTGTCCCCAACTTCAGGTGCCAGTCGCAAATTCGGGGTACCTGTACTTCTGACCAATCGGTTATAAATTGGGGGTTCCCACACCTCCCTCTTCAGGTTCAATAATTTGGTAGAATGGCTCACAGAACTCAGAGAAGCACTTCTATCACCAGTTTATCACGAAGGATACAGCTCAGGAACAGCCGGAGGGAAGAGTTGCTCAGGGCAAGGTATGGGGATGGGCGTGGACCTTCCACAACTTCTCCATGGGCACCACCCTCCCCTAACCTCCACGTGTTCCCCGACCCAGAAGCTCTCGAACCCTGTTGTTCAGTTTTTATGGAGGCTTCGCTGTAGGCATGTGTAGGCATGATTGATTAAATCATTGATCACTGGGGATGAAGTCCACCTCCAGGGGTCAGGGGGTGGGGCCGAAAGTTCAGACCCTCTAATCGCATGGTTGGCTCCCCTGACAACCAGCCTCCTAAGTCTCATCCTTAGAAGCTTTTCAAAAGCCACCTCATTAACACAAACTCAGGTGTGGTTGGAAGGGGCTTGTTATAAATAACTGAAGATGCCCCTCTCAGCCCCATCACTCAGGAAATCCCAAGGGTGAAAGTTCAGGAGCTCTGTGCCAGGAACTGGGTGCAGAGATCAGAGAAGTATTCACTAGCTCTCCAGCATCCTCCAAAGGTGACCCATGAGGGTTTCTTTCTTCTGTCGTCATGAAACCTAGCTACACATGAGATGACTACAAGTATGGCTAGCTAAAATTAATGTCTATTACACTCCTTTTTCAATTTTCATGTTGTAAAGGAAATCAATTCCACCTCCTACGGTATCAGACATTTGAGCTACTATGGTGTCAGTCACCGGCTGCTATGACAAAATGCCACAGGCTGGGCAGCCTAAAAACAACAGACATTTATTTCTCACACTTCTGGAGGCTGGAGTCCAAGGTCATCGTCCAGCAGAGTTCATGTCTGGTGGGACCTGCTTCCTGGTTCATAGCTGCGTGGAAGGGGTGAGGGGGCTCTGTGGGGTCTCTTATAAGGGCACTAATCCCATTCATGAGGCTCCACCCTCATGACCTGAGCACCTCCCAAAGGCCCCACCCCCTACCATCATCACATCGGTCGTGAGGATTTCAACAGATGAATTCTGAGAGGACACACACATTCAGACCACAACATATGGTTATTTTTTTTTAAGTAATTGAAAGGTAAACTCTAAATCCTGGGTTTGCTTTTTTTTAGTAACACGATGAAAAATCAAAATCAAACAATTATAGACACACAAACAGACACATGCCTGTTTATCGAAAGCAAATGAGGTAAAGACGCTTCGGCTGCATTCATAGTAAAATTTTATTTGACTCGGGGAATATAGGGTCTTCACATTTCTCAAAATCGAATCCTCATACAGAAATATCTGTAACGCTTTTTTGAGGTGTCATTATTAGGAATACTCCAAATGGCACACTTGTCTAAATCTAGGACCTTGCAGAGAGACAGGCCAGCAAGGCTTGCAGTACAAGCTTGGGTCTGATCCAGTCTTAGAAAAAGCATGGAAACTCAAGGTATAGGGACAAGAAAGTGTAGGAGGGAGAATATTAGGGGCCAGAATCCCCTTTGGTTGTTTTCTTAGCAAAGAAAAGCTGCAAATGGCACCTGTGAGCAGCTTTCTCTACTCTGAAAGCTGTCAATTACCTTAAGCTGGAAAATAAATTTCTATCGTTTTGTCAGCAGCTTGCTTGATTATTAAATCCTTGTAAGCCATTCAAATATTTTTGATTTGCCAAGTACCGCCAAGGTGCTGGAGACACCAAGGTAGAAATCCAGGATCTCTGTGTTCAAGGAATTCACAGCAGAGTGGGTGAGGCAGACGGCCGGGCAGGCGGCCTCAATAGAGGGCTCTGAGAAAGCCTCAGCGTGATGAGTTTTCCTCCAAAATAATCACGACATAATAAGCCGGAGGGAAAACGTATGTCTCGCATTTGCCTAGAAGGGCATTTTCCCCACGCCCTGTCCACCAACCTGTTGCTGATGCATGATCTCGGAGGGATGCAAACACAACCGCATCCTTGGCCCTGGACACAAACTTGGCCCGTAGATAGCCACCCTTCTGACGCGGTTTCCAGCCCAGCTAAGGGTCTGCCCGCCTCCTCACACGAAGGCTTTCCCTTTCCTCCTTAGGATGCAGGTTCAGGCCACAACTGAGCAATTAATATTGAAAAGATTTCAGCACTTACCTAAGTGGTCACTGAAAACCAGCATTTGTTTCCAAACTTTTTTTTCCTCTCTTTTTCTTTTTTAGCTCCAGATCCTGTGTTTAAAGGAAATTCAAACATTGACTAACACAAGCAAAAACCTTAAACTTGAAATTTCTTGCAAAGGCCTATGTTTATACTCTTTAAGAACATGTATCTTTTTGCTTCATATGGTGATAGTAATAATAACAGTATCTTCTATTTTATAATGCTCTTACCTTTTGGAAGTGCTTTTCTATCAATTGTCTCACATTTTGCAGTCTGTGTCCCCTCCAAGTGTAATGTAGTCATTCTTAATTTCATGGTCTATGTCTAAGAGGAAAATCTGACGTTATAACATGTTCATGGATTTCTCTTAAGTAGTATTGCCTTTCAACTAGGCAAGCAGATGTCTTTAATCTTTTAAGCAAATATGAATTGATAGTTGTTTTCCTTAAGCCTAGTTATCACCTGATACTGATTGATCCTCTCACCTGCAATAAACTAATTAATTAACATTCAACATAGGCCATAATAAAGAGAAAACCCCTAATTCTTCCAACTACTTTTATATAATGTTTCAGACATTTATAACCTATTTTAACACAGTCATTTTCATTCTCACAGCATATTATTAGACAGTCAAATTGAAATTTAAGATTTTTTTTTTGCAACATGCATTCATTGTCGTTTATATTTATCACCGTTAAGGGATTACAACCAAACGATAATCGGTCTCAGGGTAGGGGAAGGAGCAAGAATGCAATCTGCCAAATTGGAGGAAAGGTTTAAACTCCATTTGTGGAACCACATGGACTGTATTCCCATCCAAATTGAGAATTTAAAATGCAGAAGTTCTTGTGACGCAGCAAACAATGAAAAGTCAAAAATGGAAAGGCATTCAGCCCGAAATGAATCACCACGCAAAATGAAAAAAATGGAAACACCCACAGATTTCATTATTTGAAGGGAAAAAAAGCTTCCTCTATTTTACAGCAGAGAATAAGGAGAAGACGTGGAGAACGGCTCACAAGAAGGCAGCAACTTTCCTCAAGGATCATTACTTAACTTAAGAATGCCCCCAAACCCAGGAACCTCCATACAGGATTCTAAGAAGTTACCTTGTTGAGATAAATCATTTAAACCAATAACTTTGTTTCTTTTTTCTTACAACTAGAAACACTTGTTCACTGTAGAAAATATAGATGAACAAAAAAAAAAACACAACAAAAATCAACATAAGCCAACCATCCAGAAATACCTACTATTAGCACTTTTTATCAGTTCAATGTTTTTTAGTATATTTACAGGGCTGTACAACTATCACCACAACATAATTTTAGAACATTTCATCACCCCCAAAGGAAACCTGTTAGCCGTCCCTCCCCGTTTTCCCTCCCATACACCCCACCCCACCAGCCCTAGACAATCACTAATCTTCTTTCTGTCTCTATGGATTTGCCTATTCTGGACATTTCATGTAAATGGAATCACAACACGTGGTCTTTTGTGACTGAATTCTTTCACTCAGCTTAATGTTTTCGAGATTCGTCCACGTTGTAGCATGTATCAATACTTAATTTTTTTATTACTGAATAATATTCCGTTGTATGGATATACCATATTTTGCTTATCCATTTATGACGGACATTGGGCTGTTTCCACTTTCTGACTGTCATGAATAGCGCTGCTGTGAATATTCATGCACAAGATTTTGTTTGAACATGTGTTTTCAATTCTCTTGGAATCTAGGAGCGGAATTTCTGGGTCATATGGTAACTCTATGCTTAATGTTTTGAGGAATTGCAAGATTAGTTTTCCACAATGGCTATGTACACTTTATATTTCCATCAGCAGTGTATGAAGTGTATCCAATTTCTCTGCATCCTTGCCAAGACTTTTTATTGTCTCTCTGTCTTTTGTGTGTGTGTGTGTGAGAGGAAGATTTACCCTGAGCTAACATCCATTTGCCAATTCTCCTCTTTTTTTTTTTTTCACTTGAGAAAGATTAGCCATAAACCAACATCTGCGCCTATCTTCCTCTACTTTGTGTGTGGGATGCCTCCACAGCATGGCTGATGAGTGGATAGGTCTGCACCCAGAATCTAAACCTGCAAACCCAGGCCACGGAAGCAGAGCACATGGAACCTTAACCACTGGGCCACAGGGCTGGGCTCCGTGTCTGTCTCTCTCTCCTTTTTTAAAATAGCTATCTTAGATGGGGTGAAGTGGTATCTCATTGTGGTTTTGATTTGCATTTCTCTATTGACTCATGATGTTAAGCACCTTTCTAAGTGTTTATTGACTATTTGTATATCTTCTATGGGAAAACGTCTATTCAAATTCTTTGCCCTTTTAAAAACTGGATTACTTTTCTGTTTATTGTTGAGTTGTAAGACTTTTTATATATTCTGGATATAAGTCCCTTATCAGATATGTGAATTACAAATCCTTTCTCCCATTCTGTGGGTTATCTTCTCACTTTCTTGATGGTATAATTTTCAGCACAAAAGGTTTAAATTTAACTATTTTTTCCTTTTTTTTCTTGTGCTTTTGGTGTCACATCTAAGAAGCTTTTGCCTAACCCAAGATCACAAAGATTACTCCTGTTTTCTTCTAAGAGTTTTATTAATATATTTTCAGAAAATTGAACCTGTTTTTTTCTCTTAATAGCTCACTTACATCCTCTCACCTCATTAAATATTCAACGTAATTTTTAACGGCTGCATTATATTCCAGATGAACATTATTAATTTAACTAATTCCTTTTTGCTGAATATTTAGGCTGTTCCCAGAATAATATTATTTGCAAATAATGTAACAAACACCTCCAAAATATACCTTTATATGCATCAGTAATTAGTTTGCAATAAAAAATGCTAGAATGGGCATTGCTAGGCATGAATACTTTTAAGCACCTGATACATTCCACCATCATGCTCATTGATTAATAGCTTACAAGAGCATCAGCTTCTCCACACTCTTCCTAAACTTGGATATTATCATTCTGAAATTTTGAGCAATTTTGCATTCACATTTTATCATGGACTTAGAAGAATAGGGACATCTCAAAACTAATAGTTTTTGACAGATTGACTAAACGTCAAATAATCAACTTTTCCCCACGTCTTAAAGACCTCCAAGTTTAATATTATTTTCCTTTCCTATAGGAAGGACTAATTTATTTTGCTTCACAGGGTAAACCGCCATTGCGAGAAAACATTTCAAATGAAATAACCTAATGAAGCAACTAAGAAGATACAGACTTAGAGAAATAGTGACCCCCCCCAGCAGGGTCTCCCTTGGTTACTTCCATTGACGTGGTCACCAAGGTTGAAGTCAGCTATGTCCGTCCAGGGATCTGATCAGGCTGATTGGTCTCTGGTTAAAGGATCCAGGATAACCAACTCACAAAAGATTGATATGTAAACCGCACCAGCCACGTGTGGATTTCTCGTGAGTCACCCCTCCAACACAGACCAGGCTGCTCACGGTGTGTGCTCAGGGTCATATCCCTTGGAGGGTGCCTGGCACGTAGAAAGTACTCAATAAATGTCAGCCACTATGATTATTGTTATCATTTTATCATTATTATTATAATGCAATAGAGTATTGCTTTGATGCGTCTCCCCTTTATTGGGAACATATTCTGATTTTTGAGGTAGTTCTTGATCTTCCGGGGTCACGTTCACTTTGAGAATCTGATGAAATCTATGGACACGTTTAGCAGGCGAGGGGGCTGGGGGAGAAAGCCCCTGTGCACAGACCACGGAGAATTTTCCGGCCTGAGAACCATGCTCTTTTCTCACCGTGGCCCCCTCCCTTTCTCCCTTCTAGAGGAAGAATGCCCAGATTGGGGTTAAGAGTGAACGTACTCAACGTTCACAATCAGGCAGCCAGGCCACAGGACTGAATTGGGACACAATCTCTTGGCTTTTTCCTTTCATGTTGCCTTCTGCCCCTCTTCTCTTCTTTCTTGGAAATATCCCGCCCCTCAGAAAGGCCCAGGCCTGCCTGTAGTTAAGGCGGAAACAGTCCTCACCCCGCCTGGCTCTCTGCTCTCCTTCTCTTCTCTCTCTCTCTCTTTTTAAAATTGATTTCAATATTCATGTGGACGATCCATTGGCCTCTTGGACCCTCAGCTTTCTTGGCCTCCCAAACATAATCCTCCGCCCCAACCCCAACGTCCGTGGTCACAGTCCTGGTTTTGCCACCACAATCCCTGCGCCACCTCTGAAACCCTGACTCTCTGGCCACCACCCCCATCCTTCTGGCTCCCCTCCTCTGTGTGTAGCTCCTGCTCCAGCAACTCTTTGACTCCATCAAGAACTCCTATCCATAGACTCTATCATCTTCCCAACTAGAATCACCTCCCACGTCCTCACATCCCTCTCTTCACCCAGCCCAACGTCCATAGTTAATGTTTATAATCATTTCCTTGAAAATGCCCTAAAACTCCTTGCCCCTCTCCGGGAGGTTCCCCTGGTGTATTCATTGGGAAAGCCCTCCACTCTGGTTATTCTCAACGATCTGCCCACTTTGGGTCAGCATTAGGGCAGCTGAATATGACTGAGCTGGTCTTATTCACCACGTCCACTGGTCTCCTTGAAATTCATGGCCCCAAATCTAAATCGGGTGCTTAGCATTGCTGAACAATCCTATTATATTTCTTGGAATGTTCTGTTTCTTACTCTTCAGCAAAACTATTTCACATTTTGTCTTTTCAAACCTCCTGAATTATACCACCTCTCCCTAACCCCAACTGCAGCCCCACCCTCACCCCTACCTTTTGATCATAAAATTTAAAACTAAAGAATAAAGCAGACAAGGGCCACTCAAACTACAACCTCCCTTCATATATACTCATTGTGAGCTGCCTCCCAGTCCTAGGGATCAAGTGTCTTTGCTCATTTCAAAGGCCAACCCTTCTGCTGTGTTCTGGATCCCATGCCAGTCTTGCATCTTCAAGGACTTTGGTCTGGCAATTACTCCCTCTCTCATGTGTATCATCGATTTCCCCTTTTCTAATAGTTTATTTTCACCAGGAAACACTATCCCATAAGAGCTCCTATTTTATAAGAGAAAAAAAATGACCTTTTTTTTTTGAGGAAGATTATCCCTGTGCTAACTGCTGCCAATCTTCCTCTTTTTGCTGAGGAAGACTGGCCCTGAACTAACATCCGTGCCCATCTTCCACCACTTTATATGTGGGACGCCTACCACAGCACGGCTTGCCAAGTGGTGCCATGTCCGCACCTGGGATCCAAACTGGCAAACCCTGGCCGCCAAAGGGGAAAGTGTGTCCTTAACCGCTGCACCACCAGGCCGACCCC